CATAACGTCACAAAAAAATCGAAAATCGAATATACGTAACCCGCGGAAAATCAAAATTCGCGATACTTTTTGAACAGACTTCGTACAAACATGTTCGGTGCCTTTTTTATATGAATTTAACATTTATTTACAGAAAAACGAATTACATGTTAATCCTAGAAATAATGTCGTTTATTTGATTCTTTGACACATTTCTGCCACCTTTCAAGCAACTGGCGAATCCCCTGTCGAAAAAAAGATGGCAGTTTTGAGTCGATAAAGTTATTAATGCTTTTTTCGACCTCGTTGGGAGATTTGAAGTGAGAATCAACTGGGTGATGCTGCAGTGACCGGAACAGATGATAATTTCCAAGGTCTGAGGAATAAGCCGCATGAAGAAGAATTTCTCAATCCAAGCTAGAGATGACTTGTAAGGTTGCTCCCGCCGTATGTGGCTACGCGTTATCGCAGCAGAATGTCTAATTCCTGTCTAATTCCATTGCTCGTAAAAAGTCTATCTTGCTTAAGTGCGTCGCTCAATTTGATCACCCAAAGCGGAATAAATGATTTCGGTAGTCTGAGCAGTATTTTTATTCAATTGGAACACAAAAAAGATGTAGTGCCTCAGATGCTCCTTTTCGGACGACATCGTGATAACTACTGTTTTCTGAGATTATGTCGGTAAGGCTGTCAAATATTATAGGGCTTCTTAAAGCTTAAAGTTGGCACTTTCAAATTATCAGAAGGAAAATTTTTTAATTTGTATCAAAATTACAAGACGTTAAAAATAAAGGCACCAAATTTATTTATACCTAATATTTATTACATAATATATATTTATATATTGTTTCTTTTTAAAATATGTTATATATGTTGTATAAAATATATTTATATATTGTTTCTTATTAAAATATGTTGTATAAGTTAGGGAGTTCGGATTTTATCAAATGAAAAAAAAAAAATAGAAATGGAAATGATAAAATTGAAAAGATATTCCTCTCAAATCTTGTCTTTCATGCCTTCCTGGTATTTTTCAATTTCTTTACCTTCCCAGTGATGATTTTTTACTTTTGACAAAAACCTAAAATAACCATTGACATTTTAATTTAAAATAACAGGAATTGTTATGTGTTTTTGGTCACATAAATCGAACATGTCGAATTTCGTCAAAGAAATTCTCTTCTAACCATACTTAATGACTGATTTACGAGACTCACTTTTCCTGAATTTCTTGTAACAACGTTTCCTCTTTCTCCGTGATGCTGTTACGCAGTACGTCTAGATTCATTTGTAGCTGCTTCGTGGTTTGTACTCCGACCAAGTGGGTGTCTATATTTATATATTGTAGCGAATGCCATATCGCCAGTCTAGAAAGCTCTACACCTTGATCCTGTATCGATATTTCATAACTTTTATTATTATCAAACAACTATTGATTAGTCGAAATCTCACATATACAGTGGCTCAAAGATAGGTTATTATTTCAAATTTTCAAAAATTTTAGTACAATCAATGTGAAAATAATTTTAAAAATATATTACCTGTAAAAAAAATTAGAAATTTTTTAAATCAGTAACCGAAGTTTGAATCTGTATTTCTTTCACAATCAATAACATGTACGGAATAGAACACGCATTTTAATTGATAGATATCTTTTTTATTACACTCGTTAGATATATTTTATATTATTAACGTGCCTTGCAATATTGTGCAGCATTTGCACATTGCCTTTTCGTCTCGTCAGAAGCAGGATGCCAACTTGGTGGTCCGTTATTCGTTAAAGCGCCCATACAAGGTAACGCGGCGTTAATTAGACCAATATTATGTTTCTAAAATAGTGCGAAAAGTATTAAATTACGTAGTTAATGAATTTTCACTATTGAAACTGATATGTATCACGATAAGCGTAGCGCAGAAAATCGAACGAACCTTGAAAAACGGGACGTACTGCAACAATGTATCGTCAATCAGAGTAAGTCTCGTATAGCTTAATACGCAAGAAATATTGATGTTGCTCCTCTCAACGCACTTTTTCAACACGGATACTGGATAACCCGTAATGCCGATGTATCTGGCCTTACCGATGGCTACTTGCCTCGATAATTCCGGCAAGGTTTGTGTAAGTATTATCTCTAATGATGGCGCGAACTCGATATCGTGGACCTGTAAAGTTCATAGTTGAAAGAAAAACATGTTCGTGATAACAAATTTATATACATATACAAGAATGAATCAAATATAAACGGGCCTTTTGCAAAAAAAAAACCATATATTATTCAAAATCAAGTCTAATTTACATTTTTCT